CTTGGAGACAAGATAGCAAACCAATGACTGTATTGTTGTGTAACGAGTACGGTTTTTCCTCCCACCGCCTGGAATTGTTCTGCCGCCACACCGCCAGCCCCAAATAATGCACAGAGACTCTGTATTAGATATTATGCTATTGGCCAGGTACTAGTTTCTTATCGGCTAGCTCTGCCTTAGTTATTAACCCATTTGTGTTAATCTATGTATGTCCATGTGTTCTTCTTACCGGGAGCCGGCTGCCGCATACTGCTCTCTCCAGACTCTCCATCTTGACTCCTCCTTACTATTTCCTCCTTGTCTCCTAGTCCCTCCTATCTTCCTTTCCTATTGGCCAACAGTGCTTTATTTATTAACCACTATGAGAAACATATACAGAATGACATCTCCCATCATTGTTGTCAGATGCTTCCCTTCAATTCATTCATTCTTTTACAAGTTTAACTATTTATTTTTCCTATTATTCGTTATTTATTTATATGTTTCGTGTCTAGAAGTGCTATTGCTTTTGTGTTCAGTACTATGTCAGTATTCTCTTTTATTCCTTTCAGTTCTGTGTGTATGTATATGTACATATGCAGTATATGTACTTGTTATTGTAGGAATCTGTCATGTGCAACCTGGTACATGCTAGGTAGGGGTTAGTTGGGTGTCTTGATTGCTCTCCTTTCTTTTTATTTTTGGACGTTACAGGGGTATGTCACCACACCTAACTTTTTAAGTGGGTGCTGGAGATCTGAACTTGCTTATCAGAAGACTATTTAGCAACCGTTATCTCCCTGGAATCTTCTTTTATATTAAAATTCAGCTATTAATTTAATGTTTCATTTATAGCAATTGTATTCTGTACCCAACAATATTCATAAGAAAGGGGTCTTAACTCAGTAATGTTAGGAGAAATAATGAAGTACAGAAATAAAACTTCCTTTAAGTAAATGATTAGATACAAGGGCTACGGCTGAAATTCCTAATGAAATATGCTATTAGTCATATTTTGTGAAAACTTAAGAACACAGAGTCAGTCAGGTGTTGCGAAGTACAATACAGCTTTCAATGCACACCTGACTTTCAGTACCAGAGAAGGAAACTGAAGGCAACCTTGGGGAAGTTGATGATACACTGAGTTCACCTTCGGCTGCCATCCTTTCTTGTTTTCTCATCCGTTCTCTCTGAAGACAGAAAGGTGCATATCTACTTATGCATCTCATTTTCTTATGCCTGCCCACCCTTTCCTTTTCATCAAGCTTGTGTTTGTGGTCCTGAGTTGTGAAGAACATGGCTTATCCCCCCATTTTCAGAATGGTGTGTGCAGTTTTTGTCTTCTTTGCTTCCCTGTTTTCGATTCCATCTCGAACTTTCCATGTACTGCTAGCACAGTGGGATCATGGGCATTCGCCTTGCTTCCTGGGAACGACAGCAAGGTTTTTGCTCACTTGCTATGATTTAAATTTGCTCCGCATGACTGTCAGAATTGATTACCCTTGTTAGTAAGCTTGCTAGGTAACAGGTTTTCCTAATGAGTTTGTATACATAACCCATTTTTCCTGAGCCCTCCCCTCCACCCCGCTACTCTTCCCTTCCCCCTTTTTATTTTCTTGCTCAGCATTTCTCCTTCAAAGTTAGAACTCCTTAGGCCTATTTGCTCCCAGCCTGCTTCTTCTGAAGCTTTTATCCCATCAATGAGACACTTTCTAGGTTACCTCATTTAGTGTTTCCCAGTTCCTTCCATTTCCCAGCTAACTTCATATTTTTTTCTCAATAAATTAAAATTTTATAATATAAATTTATTTTAATAAATATGTAGCTCAATAAATTTCACTTATCATCTGCATTCACCATTTATCTGTTGATGGACATCTAGTACATTTTACTTCCTTGCTTTGATGAAAGAGTAGCAATAAAAAATGTGTAAATATCTCTGTAGCGGGGATGTGGCATACTTTGAGAATGTGCTCAAGTATGGTCATAACTGTTTATTTTAGTCTAATCCCAATCAACAGATTAACTGGTGTGCCTTTTGATTTTACATTTCTCTGAACTTAAGAGGAATTTTTGACTATCCTTCGGGCCATTTCAATATTTTTCTTTAAAAGTGAGTTCTTTTACTCTGAACATTTATTCATTTTATAATTATTTTCTGCATAATACCAAATATCATAAAGGACAGAAAACTGTGGCATCAGGTTATTGTGTGTTTCTGATTTCATGAACAACATTTATTTTCATTCGTCACCTTTTAATTTTGTCCTACACACATTTATAAACATCCTCCTTCATAAAAAAACAAAACAACAACAAAAAACAATGTTACCTTTCTAGGCTGACCTCTTCATCTGAAGAGGAAATTTTATAACTTTAGAGAGATTCTATTATTCACTTATGAATAATGTCATGTTAAGCTGATACTACTGAATAGTAATGACATAAATGTGTAATTCTGAAAGTCAAGTGACATATTCACATTTGTTAAATGCTTATTTACCTTTGTATCTCACTTTTCACATAAAATAGTTTAACAAACTTGAAAAAATATGTTTTTGTATTTTAACAAATATCATTTTCAACTCATGTACTTGGTGCAAGGATATTATATCTTCTATCCATGGGCATCCATCCTTTCTCCATTTGGGACATTTTCAACACAGTAGAAAATTTCACTTTTTGCCTAAGGTCTTTGTTGGTATATTATGTCAGAGAACAATTACAATTTGTTACATTCCACTACACGTGTAAATTGTGATACACACATTTCTGAATGTGCAGTGTCTCAATACGATGTTATTTTTAAAGTACACATATAACAGTCATCTGTAAACAGTGTGAATTTAACTCCCATTCAATTGAGATGAGGTCTCTGTAGCCCAGGCAGGTCTTGAACTCAGTATGTAGTTCAGGGTGGATCTTACAGCAAAGCAGTCTTCCTGCCTCCCCTTCCCAAGATTACAAGTGGTCAGTTCATGTGCTGAAGTCACTTTTACTTTTGAAAGTTATCCTTCCACTTCCAATTACCAGCAACTATCTTTGTGTATCAGCTACAATTTGTATGATTTCCCTCTAATACTACTGTGTTATTTGTGTGATAGTATGTGATTAACTTGAACATACTTATTTTTGAGAGTTGGCTTGCTACCATTTCCAGTTTAGCAAAATATGTTTGGAATATATCGTTGCATGATAGTCTGCTTTACCATAAAATTCTGTTTGGTAGTTTTTATTAGAGTAAAAGTGAGATGGGAATTTTGTAGATATATTCATTTATCTAGAAATTGTACAGTGACTGAACTCATCACAAAGCTAAGGCTGGCTTTGAACTCATAATAATCCTGTTCTCATGTCAGGAGCTGGATTACAACCAAGCACCACCATGCCTAGTTTAAGTTACCTTTGAATAGTAGCATTTCAAACATTTATTTTTCATTATGAAATCTATTACCATAAAGTTACTAAGAATCATACTTTTTTTTCATTTTAACTCAGAAATTTTGAAACTTAATCCTTTTGTTATTAAATTATTTCAATAAATCAGTCCCAGTATCTGCATTATTAATGACTTTAGGCTTTCAAAGTGTAAGCAAGACACAGGGTATTTTCATTCCTAACTTTTTTTTTTTTTTTAGTATGAGTATTTTCAATGAGGCCCTAGTAAAACTAGACATTTTTTCAAAATTGGGAAAACAAACTAAACCCTAAGCCCTATCACTTTTATGTACAATACCTTTCTGAATAGGCATATTGCTTTAACATTTTCACAAGCATTCTCAAAAACAACATGAACCATGAAATAAACTTCTCCAGCACACTCAATTCCTAAAAAAGTATTAATAATGATAATTTGAGAGCTGACGCTGTGAATGTAACTGTTTTCTGCACTAATGTGAAGAAATACTGTCCTTCGTATGTAAGGACAGGATACATGCTCCATGCTCATCATTAAAGGAAACAAGAGTTGACAACTCTGGTTCAGGTGGCATTTATTATCAATGCTTACAGAGCAGGTCTGCCTGAATCCTTACTGTGTCAGTAATCTTCTAATTTTGTATCAAATAGTTTCGAATATAACTAAATCTGGCATATAGCTATTAAGTATTTGATGTCTTTTCTACCCATAAAGATATTAACTATAGAAATTGTAGAAAACATTTATCTCATTGTAGAAAACGTTTAGGATTAACTATAGTATATCTAAGTCTACAAAACAGGATTATTTTCTCATCAGCTAATTTAAATACTAATTTATAGTAATGGAATTTAAGGATTTCGCTTAGCAACTTGTCTTATATAATAGAGGCCCCTTTTTTCCTTTTTAAACACTTTCTCAACAAATAAAACTGTTGATCCTAAGTGTACAGTGGTGCCTAATTAAAGCTTATGATCATGGAAGAGGTTAAATGCCATATATGGCATGTCCAAAGGCTATCTGAAACATCCTAATCAGTTAGTTTACTACCCTGGTGCCATTTCCATGACTTTTTGCTTATCTATTTCCAACTTGGAACTATTTAATGAATTGGAAAGCTGGGTTAAAAAAAAAAATGACTTTGACCAGAACTAAGCAGGTTTATGCATAATTTCTAGAAAGTGCTGGATCTCTACATTAAAACAAATGAAATCCCTAAAGGAATGCTCCAATAGAGAACAGTCCTATTGTAGGAAGGCAGAAGCATTTTCTGCTAGGTATCATTAATTGTCAGAACAGCCTGATGATGGTATAGCTATTTAAAACAATAAGCTCTATTAAGTTTACCTATCACAATGCACTTTTAATAGGCCCGAACTGTATTTACTGTACCCCTTCTTACCTCATATGGAAAAAGATGTTTTTCTCTCACACTGGACACTGTATATGAGTAAATTTAAAGGGTTAGAATGAGAAACAAAAGCAAGACAGCGTTCCTCTATGAATTCTAATGCACCTACCTCCTATTCACATATCAAAATTAAACTTATTTTGCTATGCCAATGCCTAGGAAATTTGCCACTAAAAAATGAGTCAAAATACGTATTTTTTAAATTTTATTATTACGGTTTAGCAATGGGAAAATGCAATTTATTTACACCAGCAGCCATATGGGCAGGGGAACACACAAAGTTAATTAGCTATTTGTATAGGATAGATTACTTATTAAAAAATAAGAATCTCCAAAACAAAGGACAGTGGTAAATTTCACACTACCCTCCCCCAATGATCCCAGCATGCGGTAATGCCAGGCAGTGGCCCCTGGGCATGCGGTGGCAGGAACTAATTTATGGAAGGAAAAAAACCACAAACCACAGAAACTTTAAAGAACCCCTTTCACTCACACACACACACACACACACACACACACACACACACACACACACACGCTCACACTCAAGATACATAATAGGATTACAGAGTGGTCAATACAATTAATTGAAGGAGGATAGAATTCTGCTGTTACAGGAAAAGCAGGGAAGGGATAGTTCCTAACCACTGTCAACTATACGGCGGAGAACATTAGCTTCCAAAAAAGTAGTTGTTCCCTCAGGGCAGTAACAGCTGAACTAGGCCCACCTCATCTAGGTACACAGGGTGGGGAGCTACAGCCCTAATGGAAACGATGGAGACAGAAAGCAAAAACAAAAAAAGGTAAGAAATATGAGCAAACCATTACTCCAAACTACCACCCACTTCTAACCAGAAAAGAGCAGAAACAAAGTACTAAAGTCACATCTGAGCTCCCTATCTGAAGGCAAGAGTGGGCGGGCCGTGGCCTTTCTCCCTTTCATCCTGTTTCCCAAGGACTTTCAGCAGACAGGAGTCTGTAAGAATGCTTTTTCTGGAATTCACTGAAGGGGCTGAAACAATTCAAGCAGCAAGGTATCTTTAGTTTCTGGACAAGGTTTCATGTTTTTATTTTTCCCCATCAAACTGTACTAGGCCCCAACCCTGAGCTGGAAAAACTCTGAGAAGGCAACAGATAGTCTCAAGGCCCAATCACTATGGTTTCCTTAACTCTTGAGACAGTAACCCAAATCAGGAAAAGGGAGGCATGTCCACAGTAGGGTTAGAATGTGGAGCAGAACTAACTCCATCCTTGTGTGTAACAGCTCTCATGGTTCTGCTCTAAGTCCCAGGAGGCAATATCCAAGCAGCAGCGGGAAGAGAGAACTCAGGACGAAGCAGGGGCGTAGACTAGCAAGGCAGGCCTATGTAAGAGAATTATTTAGGCATGACACTGCCTTGCAAATACAAAAAGAAATAAAAATAAAAGTATTTTCTCATCCCCATCCAAACAGGGAGCTGTAAGAAGATTCTCCTCCCAGTCTTCCATAAAAACAGGTAAAACAAAACCAACAACGTAAAAACTTAAGAGAGCAACAACAATAAAAACAAAACAAACAAACAAAAACAAAAAGGAAACTTGTGTAGGCAGGCTTCAGAGGCAGGAACCCTGGAGATGAACTGAAACCGATCAGGGTAAGAACCTAGAGTGGCAAGCAGCACCTGGAATCATGAGCTGCACCAGATAGGCAGTGGAGCAGTGACAGGAACATGGCCAAGCCGGACAGATGAGGCTGGACCCTTTACTGGGGCACAAAATGAGGTAAGAAACATCTCAAATAAAGCAGCACCGTTCTGTTCTGCTCACCTCAGGACTCCCACCCCCTACCCTCCATCAACCCTCACTTAGGGACTAACACAGAGGACAGTTTGATCCGCCCCTCACTCCCCATCCACTTCTGGCCCAGCCTCCAAAGTCAGGGGTATTTGGAGGTCTTTTCCTAACTTCCAAAACGAAAAGGACAGCTCACGCTGCCAAGAAGGTCCAGTGGAGTACACTGGCATTTGTGAGGGCAGAAAAGGTGTCGGTGGTCTTAATTCACCAAAGTAGAAGTCTGACTTCCCTATTTGAGGAGAGGGGGAAAAAAAAAGAGAGAGAGATTCTGCAAAGATACTGGGTAAGCAAGGCCTATTACAGAGCCCTTAGCATTGAACTCATTCACATTACTGAGGGCAGATGCAAAAATTTCCCTCCTGGCTCAATTTTTCAGTCTCCTGCTTGGCCACTGCGCCCTTCTAACAGTTCTGTGGTGCCCCTGGACGACAGTGACCTGTCACAACCACCAAGTCAGACCCATGGGCAGGTTACATCCCTAGTAACTCAAAGGTAGGAAAACTGTCCCACCAAACTTATGTCCACAGTGATTGAAGACATCATCTCCCAGGTGGAGACGGTATGCAGTTGTAGAGGTCTACTTCATGCTCACAGCATCCGCACCAAATCTTCCACGTTTATAAACCACCTTGTCCCGGTCCAAACCTCTGCCGCTAAGTGGAATGGAAAGACAGGCAGGCCTTTTGATGAGCAGAAGGTGAGGCTTTGTTCCCCTCACATCAGCCGAAATCACTGAAAATGCTGGGCCTCTGGGGAAACAGGTGGTTCTGAACTTCTTGTCGACAAGGTCCAGGGTTTCCTACCAAATTCAAATGGGAATATATATATATATACATATACATATATGTGTGTGTATATATATGTATATATATGTATATGTATATTTTAGTTTCCAAGATTCACACCTGACTTTCACTTTGTTTATCAAAGAGGCTCAATCTGAGGCTTACAAATCAGAATATTAGTCCACTGATGCTGACCGACCATGGCCTGACCATCAACAGCATCCAAACTGTGCAGGAAGCCCCTGACACCAAGCAGATGCAAAATCTTGAGAACAAAAGAATTTTTGATGCTGGGTGCACAGCTGCTCACCTGTGTACGGCAGGGCAACACAGGGATCTTGTACATCCGGGTGTAAATACAGCATGATGCCTGGGAACATTGTCCTGCCCAGGATATCACAGCTGACACTGGGTATCCTTCCAAATGGATCCAAATTGCTAAATTCTCTTCTTTGGGCTTTTTGTTTTTGTTTGTTGTTTCTTTTTGTCTGTTTTTAATGCTAAGATCTTTAAGGATAACTGGGACTTTTTTTTCTTTTTTTTTTAATTTTATTTTTTCCTTCTCCAACTTCGCTTACTCCTCCAAGCCACGGGACCAGTCTACATTACTGTCCTGGTCACTGTCGCCCTCTCTCCCTTCTCTCTCTCGGTCTCACGTGGTGGCTACTGGAATTCCGGGGGCGAACGCTGCAGCTCCTGCTGGGGCCCAGTCCCGGGTTCTCCGGGAAGGGAGCAAAGCGGGAGGCGGCGTGCTCCTTTGTCTTCCACTGGCTGGATGCCAAAATCCTTCACGCTGCCCGTGTCTGCGAACTCCAGGTAGAAGTAGCCACACTTGACCGCCCGGTGCACCTCAAAGCAGAACCCCAGGCAGGAGTCCTCTATCAGGTCTACGTAGATCTCCTGGGCGATGGCCTCCAGCTTGTTAGTGTCCAGGTTGGCCAGCGAAATCTCCTCCATCTTAACCGGGAAGGCGCCGTGCAGAGGGCGCTGGCTGCTCTTTTACTCACGGCACACCACGCACTCGGCGGGCTCGCCCGGGCCGCGCTAGGCCTGCAGGGCCTCTCCGGGCCGCGTCCTCCGGCTCGGCGACCGACGGCGACAGCGACGGCGACAGCGACGGCCGCTGCGGGGCCACAACGCTCGCACGCCCGGCTCTCAGCACACACAGCCACGCTCGCGATCCTGAGCTGCGCCCCGGGCCCCGATCGCCGAGAAACCGCCTGGGTGCCTTCTCCCAGCCGTTCTGGCCTCTTCCTGTCGTGGAAGGTCTGCGCCCGCCCCGCCACTTCCGGCCCGCGGCGCGCCTGCGCACTGACTCGGCGCCCAGGCACCGGGCAGCGGATCTGGCGCAGATCGCTGGGGCGGGGCGGGGCGCGGAGGGGCGGGGCGGGGCGGGGCCGGGCGGGGCGGGGCGGGCGGGTACTGTGGGACCCTGATCTTGCTTGTTGTCCTCTCGGTTCCCCAAATGATGTCACCGATGCCGAGTTGTCTTTCTTAAGCTGTTTAGACGCTCGCTAATGGGTTCGCCCAGGTTTAATGGGAAAGGAGGAATAATAATGATGATCTGTCCCGTCCCGTTGTGGAATCGAACCAACAATGATTTTTTTTTTTTTTTTTTTTTTTTTTTTTTTTTGCCACAGTTATTCACATACGACCGAAAAAAAAAATAATCTCACGTGATTGGGTTATAATTACTGCGGCAGTTGTCATTTAAATCCACTAGATGGTGCAAGGAAACAGATTACCGTATAGTTTATCTTTGAGTCCTTTTGAATGGGGGGGTTTGCTAGATTCTTGACACTAAAGGCATAATTCAAATATATTGATTAAATAAACCTAAGGCATTTATCTCACTTATAAGACCATTGAATCAGCCCGACTGTAAAGAAATGATTACATACTGTCTCTGAAATCTCTGGGTGATAAAAACGATGTGTGCATTGTTCGGGGGATGCAGGGAGCAGAAGCTTTTCCTAAAGTTAACTCTGCTTTCCTTGTGAGAAATAAAATCGGTCCACCGGATTCCTGCACCCAGCTCCTACAACTTTCCCCGTTTGACTAAAGCAAATATTTATTCTGTGGTTAAGGCCACTAATAAAATAATACACCCATACCCAGGGTGGATCAGGAGATGTCAGCTGTTCCTAGCCTGGTTAATTGTGAATAAAAACATAAGAAAGACTCTGTTTTATCCCTCATTTTTTTTTTTTGGTCATTATTTAATTTCTCCTCCCCAACTACTTTAGTTTTATAATTTATCACTGGAGAACTGTGGTTAATGAAAAAAAATAAAATGCTAGTTATGGCTTTCTTATTCAAGGTTTCCAAATTCCATATATTCTTTTTATTATTATTTTATTTATTTATTTTTCTTATTTTACATATCGATCCCAATTCCCTCTCCATCTGTCCCTCCCTCCCTATCTTCCAGAGGTCCCTTAGACTGACCAGACCTTCTAACTGAGACCCATGTTCAGGGAGTCTGAGTCAGTCCCATGCTGGATTCCCAGCTATCAGTCTGGGGACCCATTTGCTCCTCCTTGTTCAGGCCAGCTGTCTTTGTGTGTTTCTGCAGCCTGGTCTTGTTCTTCCTCTCTGCATCTGTTTAGTTGTGGGTATTTGCTTCTGTTTCCATCAGCTACTAGATGAGGGCTCTATGATGGTGGACAAGTTAGTCAGATTACATACACCCTTAGCTTAAACATTAATTGCTATTTAGGTTTTCATGAGTACCGAATTCCCTTATACTGATTGGTTTATAAATGGAAATTATTTGTAAATAGTTTAATTTTCTGGTTACTCATGTAATTAATCATTTTAAAATTTACAAATTGGCAGATACCGATCATTTTGAAAGCCTTTGGAACTTAAATTTTGTGTGCCTAAAGATCTTTTTGTTAAATTTGAGGCAAACTTAAAAAAAAAAAAAAAAAAAGGAGTGGCAGCGCATGCCTTTAATCCCAGCACTCCAGAGGCAGAGGCAGGTGGATCTCTATCTCTGTGAGTTGGAGGCCAGCCTGGTCTACAAGAGCTAGTTCCAGGACAGGCTCCAAAGCCACAGAAAAACCCTGTCTTGAAAAAACTAATACAAACAAATTTAAAATAATGGAGTTTTGTTTAGATTCATCTATATGTTGTAGATTTTAAAATATAAACATTTTGATGCAAAGTGGAGTTTACTAATAACCATACAATAGACCATATAATATGATTAAGATTCCCAAACTAGTCCTCCTAATGCCTACGTAAATCTAAGGTTTGAATTTGTTTTCTTAAAATTGCAGTATGAATACCATCGCATAGCCTTGTAGCGAGACATAGGGCAAAACATATACGTATAATAGTTTTCAAATGGTGCCTGGCATGACATGTAATGGTGCAAACTGTTATCGCCTAGTTAAGTGAGAAAAATATGCTTATATGCTTATGACTTTAAGCATTTTTTTTGTGAAGTTCTTTCTTCTCATTCCTTATTCAAACTTAATCCAAAACAGTGCTTCCCAGAACATATGTATTAGTCAATGAGACCTTTGTGAAATTTAGACTTTGTTTTTTTGTTTTGTTTTGTTTTTTTTTTTTTTGTTTTTGTTTTTTTTTGTGCAGGTCGTGAGTGGGGCCTGAATACCTCTCTTCATTTCTGGCATACTCTGATAATATAAACTGCTGATGACATATTAAGTGACAAACAAAAGCCCTATTAACAGACAATTGTCTATTGTCATCATCCATGCATAATTTTTTTCTTGCCTGGTCATCTAAAGTGTCTTTTTTTTCACTTAATATTAACAAAAAACTATGAGATTGTTTTTCAGAGACCCGTACTAGGAGAGTTGGAAACTGTCTTCTATAATAAACTCAATACAACACTATAAAAATTATTTCAAAGTGTATGTGCTTTTGTGTTCATTGAAAGTCAAATAATAACAACCATTTTTAAAAATCCTAACAGTGTTTTATTCCATTTACCCTTACAAGGTAAACACTATGATATTGAAAATTTGTAGGTTGTCCTACCTTCTATTTGTATTGCTATCGAAATTTCCTTAACTTGTGTTTAAATATACTGGATATTTCATTTTAAATCAACATGTCTGAAAATAATGTATTAGTTCTCTTAATTGAACGTTGGAAGTTACTAAGTTTATCAATATTTAATTACTTGCAAAGCAAATAATATGGAATACTTCTTCAAAAGTGACCTTAAAATATACGCATTAAAATATGCAATGCACCAAAGGGTTACATTGAATACCACCTTTGATTCTTGTCCCCATTTAACAAAGCATAAAATGGGATGAGCCACTCTTTCAAAGAGGAAAATATTAGAATTCTTATCTGAGCACGATTTTTTTTAATTTTCCTTTTTTAATTAATGTTTTACATAACAATTGCAGTTGCCCCTCGCTCCTCTCCTCCCACTCTCCCCAATATGTGCTCCTCGGAGAGGGTAAGGCCTCCCATAGGAAGTCTACTAAGTGTGACCCATCATCTCCTTGAGGCAGGAGGACCAAGGCATCTCTCCATCTTCACACCTCTGTGTCTAGGCTCGGAAAGGTATCTCTCCATATAGAATCAATACATATTGACAGGATAAAATGTTTTAAAGATTCTAATTTGTTCAATTAAAATTATTTTAGTAGGTCAGGTTGGTGCAGTAATGTTGCTGGAACATGAAGATGGTTGTGAAGAAAGCTTATCTATTCTGAAACTTTACAAGACTAACAAACAGGGTTCCCTTTAGATATAAAATCTCTCTGTAATGTCTATTAAATCAATTTCTAAGTGACGGTATATTGATTCCCCTTTCTTCTCTGATAAACCATGTCCTTTAATAGATGTTGATCTTGCTAACTGTAGTTTTTTTTCCCCCACAGAAGTGTTTGGAAATATAACCCTAGAGATTTGTGAGGAGTTATAACTGCAAAACTATTGTGCAGGCAAGACTAGTTTAGTAAAAATGTGTCTATTAATTTCTAGTACTCTTTAGGGTAAAAGATATGACATGAGATAATTGAACAGAAGACTGTATGAGAAAGACCCATGGTTTAATCTTTACAATCATCCAACTTAATAAATTAAAACAAGACTTTCATACTGGATAAGAAAACTAAAGCCAGCGATATCAAGGTACTTTGTCAACCAGAGAGTGGCAAAATTAGGACCAAGTGGCAAATTTTCTGATTCAGTCTAATTCCTTTCTTGGTACAGAGTAGTATTCCAATGTTTGGTTTCATAGCTGCAAAAAGCTTAGTAATGGATATGTGTATTAGAAAACTAGTACCAGAATTAATTGATAATATTTAATTTATGTTATAAATGTAAAATGTACTGGTTAATGAAAACTACATGGAGTTTATGGACTCTACATTTTGTTGTTCTAGAGACAAATGACAATTATCTTTCAAATTTGCAAGTTATACAATCCAGACACAAATCACCACTTTAGAAATGCATCAAATGTTAATTTAGAGTGTCTCATATTTTCATTATATAGGTGGAATGTTGCTCTGTCATCCAGGCTGTCTTCAAATTTCTGATCCTCCTGCTTAATCTATATAAGTATTAGGATTATAGTGGCCTACCACCAACCATACCCAGCTTAATTTTGTGGCATCATTTTTACAACTTTTAACCAAGTTGAATTTCTATTACTTGAATTTTATTGTTATTTCTATCTTCTGCCTACAATGATTTGCCTTTACATTACAAAGACAGATTGATGGGATTAATTGAACATACATTGTTCTAATTGGATTAATGCTCATTAGGTTTATTTTTGTTTGTCTTCTCCCATGAAGAGCTATTTTCTTAAGCCAAGCTGTTAAACTGTGTGTGGGAAGCTTTCATTTCTTATATTCCAGATAGTCATCTGGTATGTGCCACCAAGTGACAGATTGATTTTCTTCAAAGAAAAAAAATTGGTGAATATAGGATTAACAGAAAATTACTCAAATGACAGTAGCTCAGAACTGATCATGGATTAATGACTAATATTTTCTTTTTTGATTAATATTTTCTAAATGAATTATTCTGTTTTCTCTCTTTGGATTAAATCTCGTAGCATTTTTTTACTCTTTCCCTCTATTTGTATTGAATCTGTTCTTTGCTTTTCAATTCTAAGAGAAGT